GATCGTCTAAATCTGTAGTTTTATTTAAAACAATCCCTGGTGATCCTGCCACGAAGGTCCTTGTTTAGGCACTGCCTGTTATAGGGTGACAACGCTCTGTCAGTTTCCTAATTGTGCACCTGCATTGTCACCCCCATCACATGCTCCCCTGGTGCACATTGCTCTATCAATTGATGTCACTAGCAGAAAGCCAGTCCAGAGCAATGATGTGCAGTCGACGCTGGAGCCCCCATAGACAGGAAGTCCCTGCCACCCTTCTCCCCCTCTGCTGCAGCGGTCTAAGGTCCCAGAGTCATCACGTTCTATACACCACTGTATAGGACATAAGGATGGCGCGGGACATATCACTACAGTGGGAGGAGACAGGCAGTAGGGAGCGCTATCACAGCGCCTGGCTCTGAGGAGGTGAGTATATATTTGATATTTAAGAGGCAATGCAGGGGTTAAAATAAAAAAATGAAATAGAGTTCTCCTTTAACTCTTTGTATACTGCCATCGGTGAACTCTAGATTGGTGGCATGTAAACAAACTCCCGGCCGCAAGGCAGCATTGAGTCTGGTGACTAGAACAGCAGGCTGCCGGCTACATTGTAGAAGCGATCCGGCGGCTGTCACTTCTGTGGTGCCTTTTCATGTGCCCCCCATCCGCACCCCCCTTTACCCCATCGGTTCTCAGGTCCCTGGGAGCCCGGGACCGAAAGAAAACACATCAGGATGGCGAGCATCCGTTCCTCCATCTCTCCTGAGGAGTGTGAACCTGGAGCGTTCATCTCCATTACCTTTATGGAGGGGATCTAACACCACCGCCCCCAATGATTGATGGTCTAGGGTAGGTCTAGGTCTAGGGTAGGCAACCTCGGCACTCCAGCTGTGGGGAAACTACAAATACCATCATGCTTCTGCCTCTCTGGTTGTTAGTCTTGCAATGCCACGTGGGATTTGTAGTTTCACCACAGCTGCAGTGCCGAGGTTGCCCACCCCCTGGGGTCTCGGGGATCCTAATAATGAGAGACCATTCGTTTAAAGACCTGATCACACACAATCCTGATTGGACTCTGCAAGATGCACTAATCCTTCTATTGAAAATTAAAGTGGACCAGTCATCAGATATTATTGTTGTGCCAAGTGTAACATTTCCAGGTATTCTCACTCACAGAGGCCACTCCCCCCTTTCAGCAGCTTATCTCTCCAGAAGGACGACGCCATCCATGTTCAGCCTTCACCCTTTACTCTGACTGGACGAGCAAAAGCGCTCGTTGGCTCAGCAGACACCAGATGTGGGCTCAGTGCCTGCGATTGTCATTAGACAGCACAGATCACAGGGAAAATGCACAGATCCAATCAGAGTGTCCCTGTGCCTTGTGATCGCCGTGAACCAATCACTGCGATCACAAATGTAAACACCGGCAGCGTTTACACACAACCAGCCCCCTCCCCTTCTTCACTCACCTCCTGATGTGATGAGCCAGG